AATTACTCTTTGGCTGTTACCTTCAGTGCTTTCAAGAAGACAGTTGCTCGTCTTCTTCTTTTAGTGGTTTCTATGGGTTATGGTGTTGTTACGACCCACCCTAGGAGCTATAACTTCAAAACTGATTCTTCTTGGTGTGACATACTTTGTGGCTTCTGAGGCTCTTGAGCTTGTTGAACATTTGGGAATATCAATGACTTTTCTGGAAAAGCAAGGGTTTTTCTGGTGCTACCGGTTGCTGTATTGGATGCCTGCTTTATCCTTTGGATCTTTTCGTCATTATCTAAAACTTTGGAGAAACTTCAGGTAATGTTGCTGTGCATTTCATGGTTCTGCCCTGCTGTTACAGTGGACAAATTAGCGTTATTCCTATCTCCAGTGATATGAAGTTGTTCAGGGAAAGAATTAATGCATTGTGCTTATTGTTGATGCACACCTTTAGTCAGATAATCTCGTATATCAGAAGCGGTTGGTGTACTATGTCATATAGCTTGACTTGTAATGATGTCATAGGGCCTGATCCAGATTTGTGTTCTGATGTTCAAGTTTTCACAAGTATGAAAAAGATAAATTGCATTGTAGGAATGGTTGTCATGATGGTTGGCGTTACTTATTTACTTTGAGCAATAGTCCTTACCAGGTTTTTCATGAAAAATAAATACTCAGTACAAAAAATTTGTGTAGTAAATATTTCTCAAATAAATGTATACAAAAAACTGACAGTTAATTAAATAATGGTGACTCTTGAACGCTCTCATCATGCATGGCTATATGTGCATTTATGTAATTGTGGATGAAAAAAGGTTGCCGCCCAGTTTGATTCTCGTTAATGTTGAGCTCTATACAAACTTAAGCCTTTGGCATTACTTACATGAAGTTACTTCCTTTGGATTCATACTCAGAACTCGCAGTTCTTTCATATGTATGTCATAATAAGTAGCAAACCAATAATATTCTATCAGGTTCAGGCCATTAAGGTTCCATAATTCACTAAACAGCATTATTCTACCATTAGTGTACCTTCCTCTGTTTTCCTGTCCCTCTCTCAATTTTGGTTTAACGTGATTCTTGTGTATTTCAGCTGTTATTGGTATAGATTTGAGTTATTGTTTGCTTCTTTGTCTACTTTTACTGCAGATTCGGAGAAGCATGGTCAAACTTGACCTCTACAGAAAGTTTACAAATTCTCTAGCAGTATCAGTCCTTTTTTCTGTTGCTTGGATTGGATATGAGGTAAGTTTCCTGTTTCTTTCTATCGAACTTTCTACCTCCCATGATAGTGTGACCCTGACTGATTACCGTTGGTCTACTTGCTATCGACGATCTTTCTATCCATCTTTCTTTGTATCGATCTTTTTTTTTTTTTTTTGAATTTTTGAACTTGCACATCATGAGGTACAGCACTCAGAGGCGTTTACCAAATGATTCAAGTAACTAGCTTTTGCCATATTTGATGATTTGGCTCATAATACACAGTACTATGCAATATAAGTTATTTGATCTACTACAATTGGGCTGCTTTCTTTTCCCGTTTCTTTTTTCATAATCTTTTTGTAATTGGAAATCTATAATAAAACTCCTATGATTATTATGTTGTTTCAGTTGTACTTTAACGCAAGTGACCCATTGAGTGAACTGTGGCGAAGAGCCTGGATCATCCCAGCTTTCTGGACTATGCTGGCATACATACTTTTGTGGGTGATCTGCATTCTCTGGGCTCCTTCAAATAACCCAACTAGGTAATTTCGGGAAGTTGATCCCTTGCTTTTCTTTTCATTCTTCTGCTTGTCACACCTTTTTGGATAGCATTTAATTTGATATTAACCACTGGGAGGTTGACTAGCAAAGGTGGTTGCTCTCTAATTTTTCTTTACCTTTTTTTCTTTTGATAAGTAGAACACATGCCTATGTAACAAGCTAACATGGGGTGATATTCAAACACACTTTAACATATATTTCAGTCCACGAGTATGCATTCGATATGGCCTGCTTAGAAAATGAGGCTGATGATCAAATGTAATGTGATCATATTATGTCTCTGGCAAAATTAGGATCCCATTGCCCTGACCAACAGGCAGTACTCTCATGTGAGGGCAGGAAGTCCTGTGTTTTTACTAGGATTCTGTTCTGTTCAAGGAAAAAAAAAAACAAAAAAACTAGTATTCTGCATTAGATTCTGTGGTATAATTGCTGATGCCCTGGATTAGCTTTTGACAATGTTTGAGGTAGGTGGACTCATGGTGGGTGGCTAATGTATGTTCATCATCATCTATTGTGGGGATTGCTAGTCCAATTGTTTTCCCAAGGCACTCATAGAGCTTTGGCATAAAATTTGGTGAAAGGATAATTGTACTGTCAAGCTTAGAGACGATGAGACCTTCATCAAAGTGGAAAAAAATCATTGATCATATGCTATGTATCTGTATGTGCAGGTATGCATACTCAGAGGAGACTGGCGATGACCTTGATGAGGAGGGTATTTCTCTAACTGGCGCCGGAGGAAAGGTGGCTGCAGAATTATCAACCAAGATGGAAAGAAAGGAAAGGAAGGCATCAATTGCAGCAGATCATTTGTTTGGGCTAGGAGAAGATCTCGAGGAGGACAAGAGAGAATGATGCACATCTTCAGATCATAGCATTCCACATAGATTGAGAAGTTCGCCATTTTATATACCTTTTGATTCTTTTTCAGTAAAAAGGACTGAGGAAAACAAGTGCAATAATATGATCAAATGGCAAATTTACAGCCCAGATCAGGCCCGTCTGCCACATTCTTCAAGGCCATCGTTAGAAATTAAATGTGAAAGAGGGTTTTTGGGTAGGTGATATGATAGTTAGCCCTGTGTTGTCCTTAGTGACATATTACTGGAAGAAATGTTAGAAGTGTTTAGAAGGAGAGCTTGGTAGGAGCTCTTTCCCTGAAAAGAGGCATGTGATCAACCAGGTTGATGAGAACCTATTGTGGGTTGGAGAAAGGAATTTAAACCATTAAGGCACTTTTCACCTTGTTTCAACCTGGACAGGGCAAGACCATGTCCAACTATTGTCTGAGAGAATGACTTATATTCTTGCCATTGTATCGGATGTGATATCCCTCCTGAAGTTTTTTATGATTCTTGATATGATCTGAAGACTCTTGATGTTGAATTTTGATGCTTCAGTGCTTGAACTCATTCCTGTTGCCTCATTTTGGCAAATCTCCATGATATTGCTTGTCCTATGATGAACTCTTCGCTCTTGCTTTAAATGTTAGCAACAACATTTGTACTGTTAGAAGAGAGATTTCACGGGAAAACCGATTTGTGTTGCGCTTGAAAATTTGAAAAAAATAATGCTGTATGAAAACAATTGACATCTCACAGATGGTCACAATCATCAGACTATGGTGTTTGGTAGGAGTATTGACCTCACTCCTTCAAATGTAGCCAATATGTTCAGATAGAACGCCATCAAAACAATGTAACTCAAAATCTCTATTCATGTGTGAGCTATGCCTTATCTCAGCTCTTGGGGTTCAGCTACACTGGTTTTGCCCATTGTTGCAGTTTGATCCTAGCATCTTTTCTTCACCACAGCCACTGTGCTGTTTCATTCGATTCCTATGCTTGAGGGCTATCCATATGTACTGGAGATCTCCTTGATAATGCCACCTCAAGAACCTTCTAATGCACACAATGTACTGTTGTGTTCCATTAATTCAATAATAAAAATGTTGCCTAGTGCACAAGACTTTTACCATTTGAGGAGTGTATGGATGTCAGATGTATACAACCTTATGATCCTAATAAAAATCATGAGTGAAGCCAAGGAAACTAGTCTTTTAGCTTGAATTGAAGAAACAAATTCCTCATTCTTATGGGTCTCAGAATGCCTCAATATCTTCATGATAACCTCCTCTCCTTTGCATGTTGCTCCGAAGACTGCTGAGTGTATCATAGATCTCGACTGTCCTTGGGGGGACGAATCTCTTGAGAAGAAAATATCAACCTTATTTCCCACCTCAATCCAACTACATCCGGGGTTCTTCTTCAACCCTTTCTGCCTCATTGATGCTCTCAAGTTTGCTGCCCTGTCCCTTAATCCTGCTTCTTCATACAAATTCAACACTTGAGCATAATTGCTGCCTCTGGCCGGGTCCATCTTTAGTAGGTCATGGGCAGCAAGTTCTCCAAGTTCTATATTGTGATGCACTCGACATGCAGACAACAAAGATAACCACACAGTTCTGTCAGGTTCAATGGGCATGCTCTGTATGACACTGTAAGCATCACTCAAGCATCCAGCGCGGCCCAGGAGATCCACTACATTTACATAATGCTCCATTCCAGGCTCAATTCTGTACACTTTCATCAGCTGAAACAGATAGAGACCTTCTTCGATTAAACCAGAGTGGTTGCAAGATGAAATCAGGGAAAGGAATGTTACATCGTCAGGTTTGATATCTGATCCTCTCATCTCGTCGAATAAATTTATTGCTTTTAGACACTCACCATGAGATCCAAAACCAGCAATCATTGAATTCCATGACACTAGGTTTCTTCTAGGCATGTTTTGGAAGATATAATGTGCATATTTTAAGCATCCACACTTGATATACATATCGATAAAAGCATTTTCCACTTGAATATCAGCAGAAATCTCGAGTCTAATTTGGTATCCATGTATAGTCTTTCCTTTAAGTAATGCTGCCATTGATGAAACTGCAACAAGGACACTGGTGATGGAAACAATGTCTGGACGTAGGCTGTGCTGTACAATTTGAGGAAGAAGACAAATTGAAAGCCCTGGGAGGCCATTCTGGCAGTAGCAGGAAATCATAGAATTCCAAACCACCAAATTCTTCTGTAGCAAGTGAAAAAATACATTTGCGGCCATCTCTACCGATCCATAATTGGAATACATATCTATGAGTGAACTGGACACAAAAGAATCTAATCCAAAACCACTCTTTATTACAAGTCCATGAACTACCCAGCCCATCTCTATGCACTCTAGTCCTTCACAAGAATTTATTATACTTGCCATAATGTCAGAATCTGGTTTCAGTCCATCAACCTGCATTGTCCTAAATAGATCCAACGCTTCCTTGAACTTCCTATTTTGGCAAAACCCTGATATCATGGAGCCCCATGCCACCAAATCCTTTCCCTTCATCGTACCAAAAAGTACATTGGCATCCTCCACATGGCCACATTTCGAGTACATTGTCAACAGAGCACTCTGCACAGCAACATTACTATCTATTGATCTTTTGATCAGTTCCCCATGAAGTGTCCTACCAAGATCATATAATCCACTCATAGTACAAGTGACTAACAGATTAGATATTGTGAAAGAATCAAATGGAATCTCTCTTAAACTCATCTGAGTGTAAACATCCAAAGCATCATAAGCACAGCCATTACATATATAAGCCGAGATCAAAGCATTCCATAGTGCAATTTCTTTATCTAGCACTGAATCAAAAACTTTTTTTGCATCTTCAACATATCTGGACTTGCCATACATGGTCAGGAGAGAAGTACAAACATATGGGTCATTCTGAAAACCCATCTTGATCACATCACAATGAACCCGCCTTCCAAATTTCACATCTTCTCCCAGAGAGCAAGCAGTAAGCACACCAGAAAACGTTGTGGACACAAGTCTGCAGTCTTCATCCTTAGCAAATGAGTACAATTCTAAACTATGCTCCCAAAACCCATCCTCACTTAGCCCTCCAATAATCGCATTCCATACTACAATGTTGTTTCTATCAGTTGAATTCTCAAAAACTCGCAAAGCATCCATTGGTCTGCCACAATTCGAATACATATCAATTAGTGCAGTCACCACAAAAGGGTCACCATCACGCAAGTTTCTAACAATGTAACCATGAATTTGTTTTCCTTCCAAAGAACCCAAAATAGCATCACACACTCTGAGAAGAATACAAAGAGAATACCCATCAGGTTTAACACCCAATGGTTGCATTCGGCGCAATTGAGCAATCCCCTCGTCAACAAGGCCATATTTAAAATACCCATCAATCATAGAGTTCCGAAATGTGACATCTCGCGCCAATTCTTCACCATCAGACACATTCTCAAACAGTTGGACTGCGTTCTCCAGCGACCCACATTTTACGTACATGTTGATCAGCGAGGCGGCGACGAATGGATCAAATTGTAAGCCCGTTTGTATGATTGTAGCATGAATTATTTTACCGTAGCAAGAATTTGAAAGCGACGCACAGGCTTTGAGAAGAGAAGGGAAGGTAAATTTGGTGGCAATTAGAGGAGATTGAGGTTCTCTAGTGTATGATTCAAGGGCTTCTGAATAGTGTCCTTGTTGGATTAAGGCCTTAATCTTGAGATTAAGCTGCGGAGAGAAATGGGTTTGTCTCAACCTTGAGAATTTTCGAAAGATGAATAGATTGAAACACATGTCAACATCGTTGAAGCTGATCAGCTAAACTACTACATTTCAAATTACCCACATTCTTCTCCAAAAAGATATGCACGAATAAATCTCTGGTTTTCTTTGGGAGTTACAATATAAACCTTCTCTGATGATCAACCTCCCCAAAGTTGTTTCGATTACTGTGATTTTCTATCAACTTAGGACAATATCAGGCGGAGCTTGACCTGAATAATACGAGGATTTTTTTTTTTTTCTTTCTTGTTTCAACGGCTTATCGGCGATTAAGTGCACACTTCAATTAATCCCTTATTTATTTAATCTCGATATCCGTGAACCATAAGATAAATCCCAACTTGGCTCAAGAAATTAACAAGATCAAACTCAAAACATTAAAATAGTCCAATTTTTGATACTATAAATGAGTTTTGGAGGCTCATTTCACTTTGTTTCTCAAATTGGAGCAACAAAGTTCTTTTGCTCTTTTCTCTATGATAGATACATCATATTTTCTTCATAATATATGCCCAATCACACATCCAAGATGAAGAGATCTAAAAGCCTAAAAAATACCAACTAAATTTTATGAAGATAAAATCAGATCTAAATCTCCGTTCTTTAATTTCCATCAGAGACAGGTCACCTACATCCATTTAATTCAAGATCCTTTATCCATAAGTGGGTCTCCCAGCCAGAAATAATAGGTGACTTAGTGAATACCCCAATAAAGTCATGTTTTACCAAAATCACCGCCAAAAGGGTCTACTTAACTCCTAGTGGTGTCCTTGTTAATAGTCTTCATTTACCAGTATGTCGACTCAAGTAAGACCCTACTAGTGAGAGATACCCCAGTTGCAAACCCCAGATTTGGGCCAAATGCCAACCTTTTGAAATGTACTGTATGATCCATGCCTGCAAGCTACTAACTTGAGAAGAAAAAGAAAGAGATCTAATTTAACTTCTTTCCATATATTTTCACCAGTCCAGGTTTCACCATAAGAACAACAAAGTTGTAGTGTTATCCATCAGTTTCTCTCCTCACCATATAGGGAGTGTACTGATTATTTGGGGTATATAACTCGATAGTTTATGTGAATTTGTTGGTGCGGCCAGAGAATATTTACACCACCTTGAAGTACCTCTCACTATGAACAATTGCCATCTTAACAAACTCCATAGTCTTCAGACTTCCTCAACCTACAAGATCAAAAAAGTACAATTTTTATATCAGTAACCTATAAAAACATACAAATAACGGAGGCATATACTGCTCAACCCAAGCCAAGAAAAATAAGAAGACGGTGTAAGCAAAATTATCCAAATTAAAGGTTCTTTTTTATTGAATATTAGTAACTTTGTGCAGTGTAAGGACCTGAGGAAGGTTCATCAACTCATAGACAGCTTTCTTAGGGGTCAACTCATTGTCAATGATGTGAGCAACTGCCGTCAAGACTGGCATTTTAACGTTGTATTTCTCCGCCAAAGCAATCACAGCTTTTGCCGTTGATACACCTTCAGCCACCTATAAAAATGCAGCTGTAAGTACCCACACAAATTTCCAAAGATTCAAGTAACCATACATTGACCACGTAAGACTACATTTTCAAGCACCTGATTCATGGATCATAGTATATCATCTAGTTTCTCCCCTGATCCAAGTCGAACTCCAACTGTTCTGTTTCTTGAAAGATTCACAAAACATGTGAGCCTAATGTCTCCATATCCTGCTAAGCCAGTCATTGTAGCCCACTTTGCACCCATCTTCATTGGGGGAAAAAAGACACCCAGAATAAGGTATTCAATTTCCATACGAATATTATAATCCAAAACTACATTGTAGCACAAATGTCTCCTAATGTACCAATGTACTGTCTTGATCATGCAGCAAGTAGCAACCAAGCAGAATAACTACTTTGAATCAGACTAAGGTGTAAGATATGCTGACTAAAATGGTAAAAGGAGCAATGACCCTGATTTGAATTGGTTCAGGTAAATAAAGATCAATTTCAAAGAGTAAGAGAGATTCAAGAGACCTTGGTTGCTAACCATCATATCTCAGAACAACCTTGTGCAACCAGAGCTGCCATGGAATTGTTACCAAGGTTCATTCCTTCCACAATTCCTGCTGCTATTGCAAGTACATTCTTTAAAGCACCCGCAATTTCCACCCCAGTAACATCACTGTAGCATCAGGGGTCATAAGCTGATCACTTGAGCACAGAATCTATGCATATTCTTTTCAACACACAAACATTACCACCAAACTCTAGAGAGTATAGATGGAGAGAGGGAGTGAAGGAGTGAGGGAAAGGATCATGCACTTATAAACTGGGGCACATGTAAATCTCGCAATTGGTATAAAGGAGTAGGAGATCTTACCTTGATGTGCTGATTCTCAGATTTTTAGAAGCTAGAAGTTGCTGAACTGCATTTGCCATTTGTTTGTCCTTTGATGCCACGACCATTGCTACAGAAACACAAACCAAGGTTTCAATCACTTCGAACTATGAACAAACGAAAAGTTACCATTCTCTAAAACTATTGAAGTAACCTGATGGCAATTTATTCATCAGTTCCAATGCACATGAAGGTCCTGATAGCACAATATATGGCTGTGTTAGGCCACAAGTGCGTTTCACCTATTCTAGGTGCAAGGGTCATTCCGGAAATCTAGATCATAGCTGACGTGTAAGAAGTGGTTAGAGAGAAGGGGAGCTAATATGCAATTCTGTTTTGCATTTCTGTTAGGGAGTAAGTTTTGGCATTCTGTTAGTATTTGCTGGTGTTCTGTTTTGGTTTAGGAAGTGAGGAGAATATAGGGGGAAGGGTTGGTTAGTGGAAGGGTATGAAAAATATTTGTTTTGTAGTGAGCTTGCTCATTTTAGAGAGTTCCCAAGCCTCTTGAATGCTTGGAAAGTCTGGAACTATTCAGATAGTGAATAAAAGTTTCTCTCACCCATTTTTTTGCCTTTATTTGTGTTGCTAAGTCTATTTTCATCCCAGTGTGTATCAAATTGGTATCAGATCAAACATACCTGGGAGATGGCGGCCAAAAATGTTGCTCAGCGGATGGATTCCATGGAGGAAGTGGTTGGTGCCGTGCAAGAAGAGTTCCAACGAGAAGTGGGAACGTTGAAGGAGGAAATACACAAGTTTCCACTTTGAACCTTCTCGATCAACTTTTGGGGGAAATCGCTCAGGGAAATTTTTCGGAGAGGTACAGAGGCTTTCCGATTCGAAACTTCAAAAGAAATGAGAAAAAGGGCTAGGCTATCGGTACGATGAAAAATGGGAGCCTGGGCACATCTGCAAGAAGAAGGAATTGAATGTCCTTCTTACCCATGATGTGGAAGAAGGAGTGCAGGGTGAGGGCGAAGAGCCGGGAGAGGCGGAGCCCGAACTGGAGGCGACTGAGCTTAATCAAATGGCAGAAGTCTCGCTCAATTCGGTGGTGGGTTTGACTAATCCAAAGACGATGAAATTGAAGAGGATGATTGGTGAGCAGGAGGTTGTGGTATTGATTGACCCAGGTGCCACCCACAATTTCATTTCCTTAGATTTGGTTAATAGAATTCAAATACCTGTTGTTAAAACTGAGGTTTATGGAGTGGCTATGGAAACTGGTAATGTTGTACATGGAGAAGGCTTATGCCGTGGAATAACACTTCATCTGCAGGGGGTTGATATTGTGGAAGAATTCTTGCCTCTTGGGTTGGGGAGTTCTGATGTAATTCTGGGAATTCAGTGGCTCGAGACTTGGGGATGACTCATACGAACTGGAAGACGCAAGTGATGAAATTTAGGCTCGGTAATGAGTCCGTCACTCTGCGGGGGGATCCCTTCCTTGGGAAGACTCTGGTTTCTCTGAAAGCTATGATGCGAACCATTAAACGCGAGGGAGCTGGAATTTTGGTGGAGCTTAATCAACTGGAGGGTTTGAGGGAAGCGAGTCCCGAGGTGCCGCAATTTATTCACCAAGTTTTGGCAGATCATGAAATTGTCTTCGACATGCCTTTGGGATTACCACTTATTAGGGGACATGAACACTCTATTGTGCTCAAAGAAGGCAGCCAACCGGTTAGTGTCCGACCATATCGCTATCCTCACGCTCAGAAGGATGAGATTGAGAGATTGATCAAGGAAATGCTTACTGCTGGAATAATATAAGTCAGCAGTAGTCCCTTCTCGAGTCTGATTTTGCTGGTTAAGAAGAAAGATGGTTCCTAACATTTTTGTGTGGATTATCAGGCTCTAAACAAGGTTACCGTACCAGATAAGTATCTCATTCCTGTCATTGATGAGCTTCTTGATGAACTGCATGGTGCAAATTTTTTTTCTAAGTTAGACTTGAAGTCTGGTTATCACCAAATCAGGGTCAACAGTCAGGATGTCCATAAAACTGCCTTTCGAGCTCACGATGGGCACTACGAGTTCCTTGTCATGCCCTTCGGACTTACGAATGCCCCCGCTACTTTCCAATGCTTGATGAATGATGTCTTTTGGCCTTTTCTTTGGAAGTTTGTATTAGTGTTCTTTGACAATATTTTGATCTATAGCCCCTCAGAGGAGACCCATCAGCAGCATCTAACACAGGTCTTGGAAATCTTGCAGGCCAATAGCCTCTATGCCAATTGAAAGAAATGTGAGTTTGGTAGAACTCAAGTGGCCTATCTAGGTCATATCATTTCAGGGCAGGGAGTAGCAGCAGATCCAAGCAAAATTCAAGCCATGATTTCTTGGCCAACGCCCACTAATTTGAAGGCATTAAGGGGATTTTTGGGTTTGATAGGATACTATCAAAAGTTTGTGGCTAGGTATGCTCGAATTGCGTCACCATTGACTGATCAGCTAAAAAAAGATAAGTTTGGGTGGAATCTGGAAGCTGCATCAACTTTTGAAGAACTTAAGCATGCTATGTCCTCAGCCTCTGTTTTGGCAATGTCCGATTTCACTAAGCCCTTTATTATCGAGACGGATGCTTCTGGGTTTGGGTTAGGAGCTGTTCTTATCTAGGGACAGCAACTAGTGGCTTATTATAGCCAAGTACTGGGTCCCCGAGCTCGCCTGAAGTCCATATATGAGAAGGAATTAATGGCAATCGTGTTTGCAGTGTTGAAATGGCGACCTTACTTGCTTGGAAGGCATTTCATTTTGCGGACAGATCAGCAGAGTTTGAAGTTTCTTTTGGAACAACGGATTGTTGGAGTTGAATATCAAAAATGGATTACTAAAATCATGGGGTATGATTTCGATATTCAATACCATAGTGGGGCATGTAATTGAGTAGCGGATGCACTTTCTCGTTTAACAGATGAAGTGGAGTGCTCAACCTTGGTTATACCACAGTGGCAGCATTGGGACTCTTTAAAGGTGGAATTGGCAGATGATACTTTTCTAAAGAAACTAAGGGAGAACATTATTTCAAGTACACAATCTCATGTTGGGTTTACAGTGGAACAAGGGATATTACTTTATAAGAATCATCTCATTATTCCACGGTCCTCTAAGCTTCTTTCTACTCTAATTGGAGAGTTTCATGCCACTCCGGTTGGGGGACATTCGGGAGAAACAAAGACTTACCAACGCCTGGCAGCTGAGTTATATTGGGTAGGCATGCGCAAGGATGTAGCCAGATTTGTACGAGAGTGCACAGTCTGCCAACAGAATAAGTACCTGGCCACTACTCCAGCTGGGTTACTGCAACCCATTCCATTTTCGGCGCAAGTTTGGGATGAAGTCACTCTTGATTTTATTGAGGGGCTGCCCCGTTCCGAGGGCTGGGATGCCATCTTGGTAGTGGTGGATCGATTAAGTAAGTATGCTCGTTTTATTGGTTTGAAGCATCCTTTTACTGCTGTTTCGGTTGCTGGCATTTTTATTCATGAGATTGTGAGGCTTCATGGTATTCCCAAATCAATTATTTCGGATCGGGATAGAGTGTTCTTGAGTCATTTTTGGAGTGAGTTGTTTAAGCTGCAGGGAACTACTCTAAAACGGAGCACTGCCTATCATCCTCAATCTGATGGGCAAACGGAGGTTGTCAATCGGTGCTTGGAAACTTATCTGCAATGTTTTGCTTCTGGAAAGCCTAGAAGTTGGGCTCATTGGTTGGTCTGGGGAGAATATTGGTACAACACTTCTTTTCATTCCTCCACTCGTTGTACCTCTTTTCGTGCTCTCTATGGTCGGGATCCACCTCCACTTATTCGATATGAGCGAGGAGCTGCTTCGGTGTCTTTGGTAGATCAGTTGTTGGAGGATCGTGATGCTATTTTGGATGACCTGAGAATGAATTTGCTGCAAGCCCAGCAGCGGATGCAACTGCAAGCTAACCTCAAGCGCCACCATGAAGAGTTCAATGAAGGTGACTTGGTATTCTTGAAATTGAGACCATACTGGCAGCGCTCCCTTGCTCAACGTAAATTTGAGAAACTAGCTGCTCGTTACTACGGCCCATTCAAGGTTCTTCAGCGGATCGGGAAGGTGGCCTAAAAGCTGGAACTTCCTCAGACAGCAGCAATTCACCCTGTTTTCCATGTTTCTCAGTTGAGGCCAGCACGTGGGATTTCCTCTTCTTCCCTAGTATTACCATCCCAGTTAACTCTTGAGCTTGAACTGGTGATGGAACCGGAAGAAGTGTTGGGAGTACGTCCTAAAGCTCAAGGTCAATCGGGTGAAGTTGAAGTGTTGCTGAAATGGAAGTCCCTGCCTAAGTATGAGGCGACTTGGGAGGATTTTCACTTGATTCAACAACAATTTCCTGATTTTCACCTTGAGGACAAGGTGAATGTTTGGGCGGGGGGGGGGGGGGGTAATGTTAGGCCACAAGTGCGTTTCACCTATTCTAGGCGCAAGGGTCATTCCAGAAATCTAGATCATAGCTGACGTATAAGAAGTGGTTAGAGAGAAGGGGAGCTAATATGCAATTCTGTTTTGCATTTATGTTAGGGAGTAAGTTTTGGCATTTTGTTAGTATTTGCTGGTGTTCTGTTTTGGCTTAGGGGGTGAGGAGAATATAGGGGGAAGGGTTAGTGGAAGGGTATGAAAAATATTTGTTTTGTAGTGAGCTTGCTCATTTTGGAGAGTTCTCAAGCCTCTCGAATGCTTGAAAAGTTTGGAACTATTCAGACAGTGAATAAAAGTTTCTCTCACCCATTTTTTTGCCTTTATCTGCGTTGCTAAGTCTATTTTCATCCCAGTGTGTATCAGGCTGGCAAGGATTTCTCAGAGATTGGGGAATTATTTGAGACATCATTCTTAAAGTATCAAGCTCTAAACCTTTGCTGAGAGATATGAAAGGCCAGCTTGGGTCAACACAATCTGCAATACCCTTGAGGAATGACGAGCTGAACTGCAATAAGACGTATCATGTAAATGCAGATGCCTCTGTTTCTTTCATGTCATGATTTTATAGAACAGAAACAGGTCCTAAATATCACAGCAAGTGATACACAGAACAACAAAACGTATCAGGACACAATTAGTTCAATGCCACCTTCATAATCAGCGTCCACGTGAAGAAAAACTTATAATCTGTACAATTCAGAATGGAAAGGCTACATGAGATAAAACACTACACTAACATCACCTAGGGAATTGACAGACCTGGACAGGTATGGCATGGAGGCAAAAATCTGCACCCAGCAGAGCAGCTTTGGCATCAGCTGTTGCAGTCACATTTTCTGGCAGTATGTGTTCTGGGAAATACTTACTGGGGCCAAAGAAAATTGAAAACCATGATAAGGAAGAAAGATAAATAAACCCGCGGAAAAGGAGTATGGAACAGGAAACAAGAGACGTTAGATCCATAAGAAACCAAAATCTCAAGCCCATTAAAGTCAAGAATGTTATGTTTGTTTTCACTAAGTGGGCACAAGAAAGAATTAAAAAAGTGCCACTGCTAAGTGGAAACTCACCAGTTACAGTGCTTTTCGTTAATAGACTGACATATTTGAGGATCTCGCACAAGCATGCTAACTTCTAGCTGAGCCTTTCTATTAGCAACATGAGCAGCCATTGCTGTCCCAAAAGATCCCCCTCCAAGCACAACCACCTAAAGATAAGAAAATCCAAAAATATGTGTTGCATGTGGGTTTGAATACGAGAGCAGCCACTTATGCAGCATAGTGTCAAATGTTATGTATGGATCTAGTATGGCATTTCTTGGTATCTTATAACAAATATTGGTAATTAGATAAATAAAGTAGAATAACACCATAACAGAACAAAAACCGAATTGCATTATGGATCTAACATACAAGGAAACAACATAATCAATATACCTTGACTTAGTATGCTTTTAATTATAAATTCATATAGTAAAAGCCTAGTCACCGAGATATGAAGAATAGAAAGTTATACTTTATGATATTTATTTAAGTTTCAACATGTGTGCGTGAGAGAGAAAGAGAGGCGAATCGATGGGCCCAAAATACACGGTCATTCACCTCAATTGATAATCTTCATCTGGTCCCTTAGGAGCGACGCTTCCTCAAACCATACTCATAGGACCTGCTTATGGGTAACATCGACCTCACCTTCCTAGTTGAAAACAAAAATGACAAAAATGAATAAGGAGGAAACAAAGGACGACCATATGCCCATAGAACAGATTAATGAGCGACATCACAAATCTCTTCATAAGAAATTACTCTACCATTTGCTTAATAAAAAAATCAATTCAGCCACTTAGAAGTAGGTTTAAAAGGTCAAGCCACAAAGTTGATAGGGTGTCATGGGCCTCAACCTACTTTAAGGTGGGTATACACATGATGTAGATCATAATAGCTTTGATACCAAATTGATGTAGATTGTATTAGGAAAGAATTAAGGATGAGAAGAGAAGAAGAAAGGGATGAGAAAAGAAGAATAAGAGGATGAGAATAGAGAGAGAATTTTAAGAAGAACATTCAATATCAATAATCAATCATCAAAGTCTAGTCCCTCAACAAATATGTATCCCCTATATATATAAGAAATTCACAAATCCTATATATATAAGGAGATCACAAACCCTAAAATAAATAAATAATCAAAATGACAACTAAACTCTTAAAAGTTAAAAGAAATTACTTAAAAGCTAAATATTAAAAGTATCTAAATAACTATCATAATTAACCTATAATATCTATCAAATTCTTACATGATCCCCATCATTCTCCTCCGGAAAGTCTTCAAAGTAAAAGTACCCCAAGAGAGCAGGATGAAGATGACATAATGCCTCATCTAGAATGAAAGATCCATCGACTTCTTTCCATCGACCATGATAAATGCAAGAATCTCCATCTGTATGATTTCCTGTGAATAAAATAGGAAGCTCTAGAGTACCTTGATTAAGTAGCATGTCCTCCTAATAAAAATTTGAACTAATACTAACATTCAATGAAAAATTAAGCAAATAAGCATTAGATCCAAACTTAAAAATAGCAAAATAATTCTCATTAGATTTGAACAATAGGCATTCAATGGGACAAGACATCAGTGACAAAGGAGTAACTATAACACCCTGGTGCTGAAAATAAGAAAGTACAGACTCAATTAAACACTTGACAGTAGGCAAAGAATCAAAGTTAACACTCTCAAGTGAAACAGAATCCAGAACAATGTCAACAATCTCAGATTGGGAAGAATCTGTAACAAAGTCATGATGACTTAGACAAGTAGACATAGAATAGTCACTATTAAATTCTGTAATAAATGACTCGATTGGTTTAATATCTTGCATAGGTGTAGACTCAACAGAATTTTCCACAATTTTCAATATCAATGATGGTTCAAGAATTGACACAAACAAAGACTCACACACATTTTCTTTCGAAATGGACTCTTGTGGGTGCAAAGGAGGAAAACTCTGATATGACGAAACTAAATGAGGGAGTTGGAAGTCCATATGAGTAACATTTTTCTCTTTATTTGACACTAAAATATTTAAATCCTTTGCCACATTCGAATTAGGAAAGCATGCAGAAACAACATGGACATCGCTTAAGTAATCATGATACTCATATGTGGTGGAATTAAAATTGGAAGATATCCTATCCGCAGACTGTGATTGAGAACTCATTAAGGTACAGTTGGATTTCTTATGAAATCTCTCAACTTTTAGAGCATATTGATAGGCTGCAACTAACGTATTAAAAGTGTATTGTTTAACCTACCTACTAATTTTTTGTCTCAACCCAAAAATAAACTGATCAATTGTCCAAGGTTCTTCAACACATTCACACAAGTACATGAGATAATCAAACTGGGCAAAATAATCAGAGACACTAGAAGAATGTTATCTAAAATTGAGCCATTGGTCATAAATTTGATCCATATAAGAAGTAGGCAAATCCTTCTCTTTCAATTTTATATCTCATTTCAACCCAAGTGATAGATGATTCTCCTAAGGGGTCTAGGCTTCTTTGGATTGTTTGCCAATACTTCTTGGCGAAACCCTCCAACATCAATTTAGCAAAACAGACGCAATGAGATCCGACATGCCATGCCAATCAAAATATTCTTCTAAATTAGCTAACCAATCCAAGAATTGATTGGGATGCGGTGTACCACAAAATGTAGAAGGATCTTTGATTCGTTTGGTCATATGAGTTGACTCATGTAAACATTCTTTGACTTCTTATGATGATGACATTGAAGAGAGATTTTTGAAACATGCGTATTAGAGAAACTCATGAGTGACTCTTGGAACAAGGAATGACGCCAAAACAAGTTCAAGAATGTAATTGACAAATAATTTGGATCCTTTGCAAATTTTTTTAATTTTTCAATGAATAAAAATATCAGTTTCAATTTTCTATAGGAGTATGCATACCATAATCAAGAAGAAATTCTGAAACTTTTTGGGAATGATTCTGCAATTTTATGGATCTGTTGGGAATATTTTTTGTAATTCTGGAACTTCTGGGGGGAAGATTCTGCAATTTTGAAACTTCTAGTGGTGATTCTGTATTTTTTAAACTTTTCTGGTAGTGGTTCTGCAACTTCTGAAATTTTCTGGGATGTTTCTATAATTTCTGAAGACCTCTTGGGATGTGTCTGTAATTTTTGAAACTTATGGAGATGTTTTCTGTAATTTGCTGAATTTGCTGGAAACTTTGGTTCAAAACTTAACCCAGGCTACTCTTATAGCGACGAAATATGATAAAAAAAATTTGTTTCCTCTTTTTTTTATCTTTTACTGATGAACAGCGTTTTTGGATGAACAATATTCTTTTTTATGAATAGTACACGGATGAACAGTGCACCCCCCGTGAACAGTGCGATGAACAGTAACTTTGTTTTTTTTTTTTTTTTTTTTCGAATCGAAGTTGGGCTCTGATACCAAATTGATGTAGATCGTGTTAGGAAAAATTAGGGATGAGAAGGGAAAAAGAAAGGGATGAAAAAAGAAGAAGAATGTGATAAGAATAGAGAGAGAATTTTATGAAGAACATTTAATATCAATAATCAATCATCAAAGTCTAGTCCTCAACAAATATGTATCCCCTATATATATAAGGAATTCATAAATTCTATATATATAAGGAGATCACAAATCCTAAAATAAATAAATAATTAAAATGATAAGTAAATCCTTAAAAATTAAAAAAATTACTTAAAAATTAAATATTAAAAATATCTAAATAACTATCATAATTAATTTATAATATCTATTTAATTTCTATACGATTCCCATCAACACATCCCTTGACATGTTGCAAAACGGCTACAAATATTTCAAAGCTCCCAAGGGACCCCACAGGCCTCACATAACTAATTTATAACATACAATTCTCTATTTCTGATTGAATTACTCCTGTCTTGTCCTTTCCTGTCCTGTCTGTTTCTAGTTTGACCTCGACACAAACGCATAGGCACGCGCACAAGTACACATGCATTCACAGTTATGAGGTAGAGGACAAGCAAATCATTTGGAAGAGTTTTGACATTGCAACTTCTGTATAGCAATAGTAGGAAAGAAGAAAAGTTAGGGGTCACATAGCGACAAGAGAGCAAGAAGTAATGTGGACTGCCAGAGCAATATGCAGCTCTGGTGCAACAGCAAGTGAGTCTCAAAATGGCAAAAGTGAGAAAAACAGAATGTATCAACATCGAAATAGAACTAAGCAGAATTAAAATCCACGTAGATTTTTCAATATTGCCGGGATTCTTGATAAGCATTTCCAAAGATTAGGGTGTCTCAAGCAGATTCAATTTGACTTTGATCTCTACGAGGATCAGTTATCAAGTTCAATTTGACTTTGATCTCTACGAGGATCAGTTATCAAGATAGATAGATAGATAGATAACAGCCCTGCCAATGGCAATTCCAATAGTAGAAAAGTCAGCATTTCTCCACAGTCTATTAGCGTCCACTCAATGGAGAGTAAAATATGCCTTACATTTGTTTTGGAAACAAAAAGTATCGGATCACGCTGTCCATAACAGAAAATAAGGGGAAACTTACTACAATATTTCAGCAAAAGAATCATACATTCAACAGAACTGTGAAACCACAATCACAAAGAGTTAAGAGGTAGATGACAAGCAAATCCCTTGGAGGATTTTGGACGTCACAACTTATGTCTAACAACAATAGGAAAGAAGCAAAGCAACCGGTCACACGACATCAAAAGATCAAGAAGTAAAGTGGACTGCCAGTGCAATAAGCAAGCTCTGGTCAAAATGGCAAGTGCGTCAAAAAATGGCAAAAGTGAGAAAAACAGCATGTATTAACTCGACATAGAAATATGCAAAATGAGAATATAACTAGATATTCCAATATTACCGGGATTCTAGATACACATTTCCAAAGATTGGGGTGTCTCAAGCAGATTCAATTTGAATCTGATCTCTACAAAGATCAGTTACAAAAATGTCATTTTTTTTCCAAATATGTGCATGCGGGCGTGTGCGTGCATATGTATATCACAAAGATAATCATCAAGGGAGTGGAAACAAAAATATATCTATCTATCTACCTACCTACCATTATTTGTTCAAATATTTCAGAAAGATAATAAACACTAAAAAGCAAGGTTGTGGAAACAAAATCAGTCCATCAACCCTTCCAATCAGTGTTTTAAAACCCGGTCCGGCCCGACGGGTTGACCCGGTGACCTGGTGAACCGGTCCCCTAATCGGGCCGGTTTTGTAATTGGACCGTTTGAGCAAAGAACCCGGAATAAAACCAGTGAACCGGTGAAAACCGGACCGGGTTTATAAAACCGGCCGGTTTTGTTCCTTTAGTATAAATATGTTTTTTTTTTACATTTTTGTGTCTTTTTCTTTTCCCCTTCTTTTTTGCCCTAAATTCTAAATTATTCGTTCAGTGTTTGTTAACTCAAAAATTAAGTGAATACAATTAAGTGATTCAAGTTTGAGGGTGGAGGCTGGGCTGTTAATTGAATGCAATAGTTTATTAATTGAATACAATTAAGTGATTCAGGCTTGATAACTTTGTTTGATTTAATATATATTAAACATGTTATTTTTATAACTATTTTAATTTTTAGTCTATTTATCATCATTAATAATTATTTTTTATTTTTTTATTATATCACCGGTTCGATCAGTGACTCAGTGGTTGAACCAGAAATTCATTGACCCGGTCCCTTCTTCGAATTGGTGTCCGGGTCGGATTTTAAAACTATGCTTCCAATGGTGTAAAAATAGCAGCCGACAGCCAATTGTCACCTTCAGCCACTCCAAACGTGATTGATTTCCAATTTCAACCCAGACAGAGAAATACATATATAAATACCTACATACAATCCAGCACTTCACACCAGAAACCATTCAATGGAGAGTCAAAAATTACTTTCATTTGTTTGTAACCAACCAAGTACGCATCGAATTATACAATTCACAACGTAAAAATAATTTGCATATCACAATGTTGTCGCAAACAGAGACGAATATTCTATGAATGCATGCAGTGCTTTACTAGGACTCCAAGTGAGGCAAAATGAAAAAACAGTCAACACATTGCAATGGAATCATAAATATACTGAAATTAAGAAAGATGATGAGAATCTGTATCTAATCTAACCCACTTTGTTAGTGCGGCCAAGGACGTCGTTCGTGGCAGCCTTGGACTGCCAAGAACGTGACCACCGGACCAGCTTCTCCCAGGCCAGCCGCACCACTCTCCGGTGCTCTGTGGTTGAAACTGGGTCAGTGTCGGAAATGAGGTCTGGGTTTTGGGAGGGCGGTGGCAATGGTTTGACTGTTTCATCAACAAAGCACATGCACACACCGGAGTAATTTGAGGAAGAGTGAAGAACAAGGACTGAATTGGGGTTTGAAGGGAATTTTTGAACTAATCCGAGATTGTGAGGTGATTGAACAGACTGAGTTTTTGGGAACAGTGGGTTTGTAAGTGCGGACTCCATTAGCGATGCCTTGCTTCACACACTACACACACTGGCTCACAAACACATGCACAGACACAGGAGAGAGAGAGAGAGAGAGAGAGAGAGAGAGAGAGAGAGAGTTGTATACTTGTACCTATTTGGTGTGCTCCTTCCACGCGACCTCTCTGCTTGTCGTTCGCATGTGTATGTCTGTTCTGTAAATTCATTCAATGACAGGTCAGTGAAAGGAGAAATGAAAGTGATTCGATTCTAAGACGACGGTTTTTTTTGGGTAAATTGTGTCGATTATCAAAAATAGAGAGAAAATCTTCTTTGATTAAAAATGATAAGCAGTTACAGAATCGTGTATAAGGAAAAACCTTATATACAAATTAGAATAACAAACTAACTGCTTGCATAACAAACTAACTCCTTGCATCCAGCTGGCTAACTAATTATAAAACTAATTCTAGCTTAACTAAACAGATAAATATACATCATTTAATATATTTAATATGCCCCCCTCAAGATGGCTTGTGGATATCTAACACACCCATCTTGGAGATAAGAAAATGAAACTGAGCAGAACCCAAAGCTTTGGTGAGAACATCTGCAATTTGATGATTAGAGGACACATGGCTAGTTTGAATAATCCCATCTTGAATCTTATCACGAATCAAATGACAATCAATGTCAATATGTTTCGTTCTTTCATGAAAGATCGGATTCGAAGCAATATGAAGGGCAGATTGATTATCACAGAAAAGTGTAGCTGGTTGAAGATGAGAAACTTGGAAATCAGCAAGTAAATATTTTAACCATAAAATTTCGCAAACAGTGGAAGCCATGGATCTGTATTCGGCCTCTGCAGAGGAGCGGGACACTGTGGTTTGCTTCTTGGATTTCCAGGAAATGAGAGAATTTCCAAGAAAAACACAATAACCGGTGATAGAACGACGTGTATCTTGACAACCAGCCCAATCCGAATCAGAAAATGCCTTAAGATGTAATAAGGAAGTTGCTGAATAGAATAAGCCTTGACCAGGACTGTTCTTGATATACTGAAGCACACGATGGGCTAATAAAAGATGAGGGTGTCGTGGCTGAGCCATAAACTGGCTTAGAATAGTAACAACATAAGTGATGTCTGGCCTGGTAATAGTAAGGTACAGCAAACGCCCAACCAACCTACGATAAGAGGATGGATCTTCCAACAATTTACCATCAGACTGATTAATTTTCAGATTCTGTTCCATAGGAAATTTGGCTGGTTTGCAACCAAGAAAGCCAGTATCAGCTAATATATCAAGGGCATACTTTCGCTGGCAAACAGAAAGTCCTTGCTTAGTTCGAGCAATTTCAAGACCAAGAAAATATTTCAAAGGACCAAGCTCTTTCAACTTAAAATGTTGATGAAGAAATAGCTTCAAATCATCAATCGCTGCCTGATCATTACTTGCTAAAACAATATCATCAACATAGATTAACAGAGCAATGAAACTTGAACCTTGGGATCGTGTGAAAAGAGAATAATCTGCCTTGGATTGAACAAACCCATGCTGAACAATGGTAGATGAAAATTTGGAAAACCATTGACGAGAGGCCTGTTTGAGTCCATATAAGGATTTGTTCAGCTTACAAACCCTGGAGTCATGTCGAGAACCAAAACCCGGAGGCAAATCCATGTATACTTCCTCATGCAAATCCCCATGTAAAAATGCATTATGAACATCCAGTTGCTCTAAAATCCAATGTTTTGCTGCTGCAATGGCTAATAAACATCGAATAGTAGGAAGCTTGGCAACAGGGGAAAATTTTTCATGGTAGTCTAAGCCTTCTTGTTGAGTATAACCTTTGGCCACTAATCGAGCTTTATACCTCTCGATAGTGCCATCAGATTTATACTTGATTCGATACACCCACTTACATCCAATAGTGTGCTTGTCAGGAGGTAAAGGAACAAGTGTCCATGTGTGATTTTCTTCCAAGGCTGTAATTTCAGCAGCCATGGCATCTTTCCAATGAGGATATTTCACAGCTTGGTGATAAAACCGAGGCTCAAAATCAGTTGTAATTGCTAACACAAATTGTTTATGGGAATGTGAAAGTTGAGTATAAGAAAGGGATGCAGTGATATCATAGGGCTGATTTGGAGAATGATCAATTGGCAAACCTGGATTGGTTGACGCAGATATGGATGGGGAGGAGAGGGATGTTGCCATTTGACAGTGATAATCACGCAAATAATCAGGAGCATTGTGAGTTCTACCGGAACGACGGAGTTGGGGAACCATAGGAGTAGAAATAATAGGAGAAGGGGAAGATGGAGATGGTGAAATGGGTTCTATATCAGGTATAGGACGAGGTAAAACAATGTCAGGAGAGTAAGCAGTGCGCATGAGTGTATTTGAAGATTGAGGTGGGAACGAATTAGATTCATGAAAGGGAAATGTTGTTTCATGAAAGATAACATCTCTACTAATGAGGAAGCTGTTTGTATCAAGGTCATACAATTTATAACCCTTTATGGCAAAAGGATATCCAAGAAAAACACATCTCCTGGCTCGAGGATCAAATTTGGTTCTGTTTTGAGCTAAGGTAGATGCATAACAAAGACAACCAAACACCTTGAGATGTTTATAAGTAGGAGATGCTTTAAACAAAAGTTCATAAGGAGATTTGTTTGAGAGCAAAGGTGTAGGCATTCGATTAATGAGATAGGTTGCTGTTAAGATGGAATCTCCCCAAAAATGCAAGGGAAGATTGGATTGGAAAATAAGAGCTCGGGCCACATTGAGTATATGCTGATGCTTTCTCTCAACGACAGAGTTTTGCTGAGGAGTATCTACACAACTTAATTGATGTATTACTCCTTTAGAAGAATAGAAATCTTTCATATCAAATTCGCGACCATTATCACTTCTTAATGTCTTTATTTTGGTCTGAAATTGAGTTTCAACTAGAGTAAAAAATGATTGAAGTAAGTTACGTACTTCAGACTTGGCTTTCAGCAAATAAACCCATGTGGAACGAGTACAATCATCAACTATGGTAAGAAAATAATGATGATCATCATATGTAGCAGCAACAAAAGGACTACCCCATATATCACAGTGTACTAAATCAAAAGGTGATGCAGAAAAGTGATTATGAAAAGGGAAAGATAAACGTTTTTGTTTGGCAAGAGGACAAATTGTACAATCATGATGTTTATTCATAGGAACAGGAAAAGAAATATCAGTATTTTGCAACAATGACATTCTTAGAAAGGAAGGATGGCCTAGCCTATAATGCCACAAGTCTGTAAGTACATCATTTGAGGAATTATTTGAAGGATGTGCAACAGAAAAACTAGAAACAACATTGGCTGCTGGTTTTTGTAGGATATAAAGTCCGTCCTTTTGTTTACCCAGTCCAATCATCGTCCAATTGATGAGGTCCTGAATAAAACAATGATCAAACAGAAAAATGAGACCACATTTCATGGAAGATGTGAGTTTGCTCACTGATAAAAGATTGAAATGAAAATCAGGAACACAAAACACATCAGTTAGAACAAAAGAAGGAGAAAATTTTACTGTTCCAACATGAGTAACAGGGACAGATTCCCCATTGGGAAGATTAACAGATAGGTTTGCTACAGCAGTGACATTAGTTAGGATAGACACAGAATGTACCATATGATTTGTTGCTCCAGTGTCAATGATCCATTCATTGGAACATGTATATGTATGTAAATGACTACTAAAGGAAAAAATAGAAGTACCGGAAAGATGTTGATTAGAGTTGGTAAGGTTTGCACTTGCTGCTTGATGATTTATACCAGAAGGATTTGAAGAGTTGAGGTATTGTAGCAATTGCTGACATTGAGCCTGAGTTATTGGAAACTGTGAAGAAGTCTCATGTGAAATAGATTCGGAGGATGAATTGGAATTCATTGTCCCCTGAATTGCAGCTTGATTTGCACCATAAGTAGACTGATTTGGAGCATTTTTCCCTCTGAATTTATATCCTACTGGATAACCATGCAATTTGTAGCACACATCAGTGGTATGTCCAGCTATACCACAGTGACTGCATATAGGCCCACGCAATTTATAGCATACATCAGCAGTGTGTCCTAAAATGCCACAATGAGTGCATGTGGGTTTCTCCTTTCTCATTGTATTCTTGTTCTTCTCATAAGAACGCATATTAGCAGAGGAATTTCCAGCTTTAGACAAGTAAACTGTTGGATTGAAGGAGGATGATGAAGGAGAAATGATTTGCTTCTGTTTCTCTTCTTGTAAAACCAAAGCAAATACTTTGTTAATGGGAGGCATTGGATCCATCAGTAAGATCTGACCTCTGACCTGTGAAAAAGTGTCATTGAGTCCCATCAAAAATTGCAGAATGCATTCCTTCTGTTGATAATCTGAAAAAGATTTGAAACCTCCACATGTGCATTGTCCACAATTGCACTGAGGAATTGGCTTGTAATTGGATAGTTCATCCCAAAGACCTTTCAGTTTAGTGAAATAATGGTTAACAGACATCTGCTCCTGTGTGAGATCTGATAAAGCCTTTTGTAATTGAAAAATACGAGGTCCATTGGCCTGCGAAAAACGATCTTGAAGATCTTTCCAAACTTCTTGAGCCGTATTGAAATAGATCACACTTGCAGCAATGTCTTTGGATATTGAATTCAACAACCATGACAGGACCATAGTGTTGCAGCGAGACCAAGCAAAGAAATTTGGATCTGCAGAATTTAAAGGTTTGTTGATGGATCCATCCACAAAACCTGCTTTGTTCTTGGCTGTGAGAGCCAAGATCATAGATCGATTCCAGGTTTGATAGTTATCTCCATCCAAGTGTTGAGAAACCAAAGCAATTCCAGGATTATCACCATTTTGTAGATGATAAGGATTATTAACTTCTTCTGAAACAGAGGAAAAAGAAGAAGAAGAAGATGAAGAAGAAGAGTTAGCGGAAGCCATTGATGCTCTAATCGAGCTTTGATACCATATCAAAAATAGAGAGAAAATCTTCTTTGATTA